ATCGCAATTTTGACCATCGTTTATAATTTCGTAAGATATCTCAATAGCAGGGTGGTAGACATCTTCGGGCAAAACTAGTGGGTCACATTTATTTACAGCCGACTTAGATGCATCATCAACATAAACAAGATCTAATACTTTGCCAAACTTATTGCGAAGTACATTAACTTGATTCAGGCGGGATATTTTCGTGGACGATGAGTATAACGATTCAGTTTCCCTCCCTAATGAAATATTTCATGAATGCATATTATTGTGAAGTGGGAAAATTTGCGCAAACGATTCAAACGGGGTTTAATGCAAGTTATTATGTTGTGTGAGGACTAAATATCCGCGGAATTTAGGCCACACGAACGCAAGCCCCTACACCAACAACAACGACTACAGCAACATCATCGACAAGGCCAATAACACGAGAGACCGTATCAACTAAGGCATCTAGTACCGGGCTTCGGGATCGGGTTACACTTATAAATATATAGATATTATCAGAAAATACTGCTTCAGATAATACGCTTTTTAAAATATATTTATGCAAGTTTTATGTACACCAGGTATGTAATAAAAAAATTTTGAGTTTCATAAATTGCATTTTATTTACATAAAATTAAGAAAGAACTCGAACATTTTTAACCGACTTCAAAAAAGTGGAGGTTATCAATTCTTCGGAGTATTTTCTCTTCTTTAATGTATGCCACCGCATAACCTTGGACCGCGTGAACCGATTTCAATAAATTTCTTTTTCCAAAAGAAGATACCTTAAGGGTTTAGATCATGAAAATATTAACGGTACTCCTAAATTTGTGTATGAGAATTGAAGTCGGTTATGTTTTTTGCATAAAAATTACTTATTTAATAAAAACTTTTAAGAGCTCTCAAGAAAAACAAAAAATGCATACAAAATTACGCACAAGAAATGGAAACGAAGTTTTCTTCTATCAAAATTTCTGAAACCAGTTTGCAGATCTTAAGAAACCCACCCCTTGTGTGCGCTAATGCTGCGACGGCAATATGAATGAATTTCAATTCCATAGTTTTTAGTTTATTCAGTTTATAATTAGCTTTTTAAACTGTCAGCACTAAGGCATTCAATCGCTGACCCTTTTGTGAATCCCGGGATATTTCGGGATATTACTACCATTAATTAAAATATGCTAACAAACTAGTTATAAAATAGTAGTCTTGCTTTAGTGCGAATACCAGAAATAAAAATAAATTTATGTTTTTAAGCAAAGAAATATAATTGTCTTTATTTTATATCAGTTTAAAAAGCTAAACAATCTGAATAAACTAAAAACTATCGAACTGAAATTCAATGATATTGCAGTCGCAGTCATTTTTACAAAAAGTAAAAAAAAAATAAGAGATCTCATCTTTACACTTACATATAGTATTTATACATATACACATATGTGTAGTAATATTAGTGTGCCACAGCGTATACCAGGGGCGCACCCAGGAATATATTTTGGGAGGGGTTTATACTTCTGAAAATTCGCTTCAGATAAAATGATCATTAAAGTACATTTATGCAAGTTTTATGTACAGTATGTAATAAATAAATAAACTTTTTGAAGTTTCATAAATTGCATTTATTTACATAAAATTAGCAAAAAACTCAAACATTTGTAACCGACTTCGAAAAAGGGGTAGGTTATCAATTCGTCGGAATAGTATGCTAACGCATAACTTTGGACCACGTGAACCGATTTCAATAATTCTTTTCTTTTATCGGAAAGATGTTACCTCAATGGTCTTCCCGTAATTTGAAATTACTTGTTTAATATAAAGTTCTATAAACACAAGATGCGCCCAACTTGCAAAAGTAATAAAAAAATTTTAAAAAAGAAAAGTTTTAATGTTCATTTTCCTCGATATCTGGTTTCTGGTTTTCGAATGAGATGGTGATTTTTTACGATTGCCTAATTTTTTTAATATTTCGAATACCGAGAAAATTAAATGAACTTGAATTTTTGTTATGTAGGCAACTTTGGTGGAACGAATTCGAAGTGGGCAAATTAAATCTTCGAAACCTTGTTAAGGACATATCAGTTGTAAACTCTTTTAGGCTCAGTAAGTGAATATGCATTGCATATTTTTAGGTTTCATTCGCAGTTAAACTTTTAAGAGCTCTCAAAAAAAAAACGAGAAATTCATATAAAATGGCGCACAAGAAATGGAATAGGAATTTTCTTCTATCAAAATTTCTTAAATCAATTTGCATCTCTCAAGAAATAAATGCTCGTATACTTATTTCTTCAAGAAAATTTACAGCAAAAGCAAAGTGCTTTATAATAAAAAAAATTTCTTGTGATTTTTCTTGAGAGCTGGCTTTAGGATACAGTTTGTATTTCAGGTTATTAGCTTTAGGGGGGTTTGAACCCCAAAACCCACCCCTTGTGTGCGCTAATGGCGTATACTAAGGTATATACTTATGTATATATACAAATCGTACGGATTT